TTCTCCAAATTCAAAGACCCACCACATGAAATTGATTGGAAACCACTCAATGAATCCATTCCACCAATCAATTTGAGCTATAGTTGAGTGTGTGAGGAGTTTTTCCTTCCCCCATTTTCGAGCTACTATTCATCAAGGAGGAGAAATGACATTTTTGGTGGAGCTTTGCTTGGTGAAGGCCTTCTAGGCTTTGGGTAGTTCATTGGAGGTAACAAAACTCTAACCTTATGGCTTTATTAGTGTGAATAATGTTTTGAAAGTCATGAGCATGGTTGGGTAGGAAATAAAGTAGTATAGAATGTGAAAATTATGATGGATTATTGTTATTTAGGAAGTTATAGTGTTGAGTAAGTATCCACATGTGATAAAATAATTGAAAAGCCCTATTGTATTTTCCCCCTAGGTTTCGGCCTTCATGGGTTATATAGGGTTCATCATGCAAATTTTTATTGTATGTTTGAAAAGGTAAAATATGTTGGAATGTAGTGTAAATGGATGAATTGGTGGAAATGCCAAAGTTAGAAAAAAATCCTACAAATACTTGCTCTATGTTTCGAACTATAGGATGTTTAGGGGTATATATATATATTGGTTACATTTTATTCTAATAAAATGTGTTGCATTTTAATATACCAATGGATGAGCTAAGAAGTGAAATGCTTTGACAAATGGTTGAAAAATACCTTGAGTCCCTAAGGGTATGCCCGCGACTTTTAAAGAAAAATAGCATGATTTATGTGAAAAATTCTTAAGTAAATGCTTCGTTAAATTAAAGAACGCCAACGGGTGTATAGAGGTCTAGACTTGTGTATTGGCATAGAATTGGCAAAAATATAAAGAAAGGAAAATAAGCGATAAAATGTATGCTTATGAAATAATCATGGTATTGCATCATTTTATTGATGCATTGTAAATTATTCTCTAGGTGTGCCTAGGGATTGAGAAGGATCGGAAATCTCTTGAAGCGATAAAAGTAACTTGTTCCACAAGTAAGCGTATTGGTAAAGCTTCAAGAGGTAAGCTCTATGTTTAAGGAGTCTTTTCCTGCTTGAGTGCTCCACCATGGTTAGTGAACTATGGTTGGACTGTATGACTGTGATTTAGATGCTTTGTATAGATGCATTCATATAGAGTTATTTGATAACATGATATGTTTTTCTCTGATATGACTTCTGTAATATGATTTATGTAACAATCTCTGGCCATTGATTGTATAGTACCCGGATGTCCGCTTTGGGGTCCTCCCTCGGGACTGATGGTGTACGCCTCTGATATGTCTGGTTCCGCTTTGGGGTCCTCCCTCGGGAACACGTGCGTTGATTTCCGCTTGGGGTCCTCCCTTGGGAATGACGACGCACACCTCTGATATAATATGGATAAATCCTCTGTTATATGTTGTATTCGTATACTCTGTATCTGACTTTCGTGCAGGAGTGAGCCAGGGGTATGGAGAATTCTCTATAAACCTGGAGCTTATTGAGATTTGTAATCTCACCCCTCTTTGGGGACATATTTTCAGGTGCCCAGATTCCCGGTGAGTCCTCACTAGGCAGGGACACGACACGTGGCTGAGGCAGTTGACAGATCGGATTTTGAGTGGCTGTAGGCTACTACCTTTTGGAGTGTTTGATGTCTTTTAGTATTTTCGCATTTGATGGATCACGATATTAATCCTTTATTTTGTATATGGCCTATATATGTTTTGTACATGTCTGTCACTTGGATGCATGTACATTTGGGTATTCAGGCACGTTATATGATGATGTATTATTCAGTTTATGATTTTGTATTGGATTGCATGTTGATTAGGATAGTGGCACGGAGCCATATTTTGCATGCGCCCATGGATGGGTATCTGATGGTATCTGCATGACTGGTACTTCTGGATTACTATGCTGTATAAACTGTTTATCAGGAAATGCTTCTGAGTGGGATTGGAAAATCCCCAGTTGTCCGATTTATAAAGGAAACTCTGCCCGATTTTCGTTTACCCCGAGTAAGAGTTAAAATAGAAAAAGAAAAAGTTAACTCGTATTTTCGTAAGTTAAGTCTTCCGCTGTTTTCTGTTTTATCATATGTATGTTAATTGAACCGGCTCGAGACGGGGATGTTACATTTATGGTATCAGAGCAGTTTCTCTAGAAGAGCCTGTGAAATATTGCATAAACTGCTCGGGTTGTTATATTCTTGAGTTTTTCTTGGAGTACTATGATATGCATGTCTGATCACCGAGTGTGAGCGTAGCTAACTCATTCCTTTGTGTGAAATATGCAGAATTATGGTTCGCCCAAGAAGGACTTCTGATCCTCCTATTGACCCGACCGATCCAATATTAGCAGATTTGGCTAGACCCCGACTAAACCAGCGGGGAAATACTTCACAGCCAGATCCAATGATAATGGCCTTAACTGAGATGCAACAAAATATGGCTGCAGCTAGGCAGCGAGAGCTAGAAGTGATGATGAAAGCAAATCAAGATCTGTTGGAGGCTAATAGGTTGGCCAATCAAGAAATGATGGCAGCAAGCAGAATGACGAATATTGAAATGATGAGATTACTCTTGGTTGAGGTGAGGGCGGGTGGGCAAGGTAGCCACAACCTTTGCAACAGCCACAACCACAGCCACAGCCTGAGCCACAACCACAACAGCCTATTCCTCCTCCTCAAAATCCCATTGTTGTGGAGGGTGAAGGAAATAATGATGTGAATGAAGAATCTAGTCACAGGGGTGGTGTGGCACAGCCAGCCACTAATAGAGAGCAAAGAGAAAGAATGCTTAATGCCTTCCGAAAACATGCACCACCAAATTATAAAGGAGGCATTGATCCTATTGCTGCAATTCAGTGGTTAGAAGAATTGGATCGCATTTTTACTGTCATGGAGTGTGATGATCAGCAGAAATTGTTGTATGCTTCTTATATGTTGCAGAATGATGCAGCTGATTGGTGGAGAAATACCCGTCTGCCCTTGGAATGTCAGGGTTATGCTATTACCTGGCCTTTATTTGAAAGGCAATTCTTGCTGAAATACTTTCCGGCTGAAGCCCGGATAAGGAAGAAGGGTGAATTTGAAGAACTAAAGCAGGGTCAGATGTCTATTGATGAATACTTGAATAAGTTCAATAAGTTGGCCAAATACTCTCATTTCCAGAGAGCTCCACCTACAGAGGATGACTTGATTTTGTAGGAAACGTCAAGCCTCCACTCCACCTCCCATGTGAGAAGCTTATCCTCCCTCCTTCCTTACCCATTTCGCAGTATCAACTTTCTTTTTGTACAAAACGTCAAGCCTCCACTCCACCTCCCAGATGTCTAACCTCCACTCCCATATCCTCGTCTCTGATTCCTTATTCCTCTTCCCCAAGCATCCACCGCCGACGCCACCTCATGCTCACCACTACTAGACTTGGTGTACTCACACACAACATATCAGATCCTTGCTCATCGTGCTAGCCATCTTCTTCTTCGCCAGGCTCTTCGACCACTTCTTCGCCTCTTGCATCCTCACCGCCATCAGTGCTTTGTGTTTACTGTCTGTTTCTTTTTTTAATTTTTTTTGAAGATTTTACATTTATACCCTTTGACCGTGTCGGATACGGTCAAAGTCGTGCGTCCAGATAGTCAGCGTGTCCTAAAATATTGACCGCGTGTCGGACGCATGTTCGAGCGTGTCGGTGTCGGACACGTACATTTTAAAAAAGTTAACGTATCCGTGCTTTGTAGATTGTCACTATAATGTATCAATTCCAACATATATACAACAGAAAAATATATACCAAATCACTCCGCTATCACCTTCAAGGTGATATTGACATCTATGGGTGTCAACGAGCCGAACCGAGCTTTGGTCTTAAAAGGTTAAGTCTGTGTTTAAATTTGTCAGTCTGACCAAGCCTGTTACCTGTTATGAATATAATTTTAGCCTGTGACCCGTCTTATTTACAAAAAATAAAAGTCTGGTTTAGCCTATTTAAAAAAAATAAGACAGCAAAAAATTATCCAAACAAAATATATAATCAACAGCACTAATAATTCCATAAATATTCATAAATTTAATGTATATCCAAACAACATAATATAAAATAAAATCATTCAAAAAGTCTGTTTAATTAATAAAATGAGATGAGGATTGAGGAGAGAGAGGGCTATCACAAGTAGTATAAAAAATATAAAATACAAATAAAAGTTAATATATTAGGCCACCCTGAGGGGCTTTAAGGTTGAGCTTTTGAATTGAAGCCTGAGACATTTTTATTAAACGAGCTTTTATACAAGTCAAAGTCTTGTTCCAACAATCAATTTTAGACATGTAAACTTAGGCCTTCATGAGCCCAGCCAAAAGTCTCTAACTTGTTCAGCACCCCTATTGACCTCCCTTAAACTTTGTTCGATATGCCTTTTTAAGATGAAAAGGAAAGAAAAAGGGCTAAAAGAGGATGAAAATTCATCCTTTGTTTGATAGCATATTAACAAAGAAAAAGAAAGGATTTTGGCGATAAATTTTCCATGAGGCCAACCATTTTCTTATCGCTTTCTGTTTTGGAAGGAAAGGAGGCGTAAATAGTTTTGTGGGCTTTTATTATATAGTTTTATACATCTTCATTACATTCACATATATTTTTATTATTTTAAATTTATGAAACCAAATAAAGAAATAAAATCATATATATAAGAGTAAGATTATTTGATACTAGTGTCAAATCAAAAAGTTTGATATCAATTCTCAATCGCAGATTTTTGTGAATCTAACGGTTATAATTTAATAGGTCACACTTATTAATTAATAATTGTTAGATTAACAAAAATTAATGATTACAATTTGATATCAAATTTTTTAATTTGATAGCAATGTTAGACGATATTCTCCCACATATATATATATATATATATATATATATATATATATATATATATATATATATATATTTTGAGCAGATTTAATTTAAAAATTGGATAAAAGAGGCATGTAATGTAAGTGAGGCGGCGAAACAGCTTCATCCAACCCAAAACAGAGACAGATCTACTCTTTCATTTGTTATTCTATTCTTTTATTATTCTTGTTCTTCTTCGTTATACTTGTTTTGTTGTTCTGAATCTCTCTCAATGCAATGGCCAAAGCCTCAATATTCATCTACATCACCGTAGCACTTGTGCTTCTCTTGTTCCTCTCTTTTTCCCCAAACAAACACAGCACTAACCGTCACCGCCGCCTCAAGCTCCGCTCCAACTTCACTCTCTCCCCATCGAACCACCGCCCCGTCGCCTTCGACCCCATCGTCGCCGAGCTCGAGCGTCACCGCGAAGACAAGCAATGGGAGAAGCAGTACATCCACCATTCCCACCCCGAACTCGACTCAGCACCCGCTCACGAGTCACAGCCCGAGTGGGAGGACTTCATGGACGCCGAAGACTATCTCAACGACGAGGATAAGTTCAACATCACCAATAGGTTAGTTCTTCTCTTCCCCAAGATCGATGTGGACCCCACCGATTGGCTCATCACCGAGCACGAGTTGACTCAGTGGAACCTCCAGCAAGCCCAGAGAGAGGTTTTGCATCGCACCCAGAGAGAGATGGACATCCACGATAAGAACCATGATGGCTTTGTTTCTTTTTCCGAGTACGATCCTCCTAGTTGGGTTCAAAATGCAGGTTCTGTTTCTAATTTTGCTGCAACTTTATTTGCTTTTATAATGCTAGTTCTTTCTTTTTTAATTATTATTATTATTTGTTTTTCTAGATCTGTTTGATATTTGTAAATGCAAGTGGTTACTGTTTCTGAAATACATTTATGTTTTTGACCATGTATTGAATGTTGTGTTTTGTTTTTTCATTAGGTAATGATTCTTTTGGTTATGATATGGGATGGTGGAAAGAAGAGCATTTTAATGCATCAGATGCGGATGGAGATGGTCTTCTAAACTTAACTGAATTCAATGAGTGAGCTCCTACTACTTGTTAGGAAACCTTAATGTCTACTTGATGATCCCTTTCACTTCATGCTAATGATTTTCCTTAAATTTCTAGTTTTCTGCACCCGGCTGACAGCCAAAACCCAAAGCTTCATCAATGGTTGTGCAAGGAGGAAATCAGGTTACTCAAATCTCATAAAAACCTATGATGACTCAATATCAGTTTCTTTCAGATTTCAGAATAAGTGATTTATGTTTGTAACACTGTTCCCCTAAGATAATTGCAGTCTCGTCAAACAAAGATTTACTTCTTGAATTTTTAAGAATTTACTCATGTATCTTTGATATGAAAGTATATGTACTGTTATAATAAATGCACTTGAATCTACTAAAAAAAATGCACCTGACAACAGAGTGGCATAGATGTCAAGTCACTAAATAACAATGACCTATTTCATTCTCCAAATAATGTAGGTGGGCTACCACATATGGGACTGATAATGGTGTTCCAAATTTGCATGTTTTCTAGTCTTAATAAGGAAACTTCCATAAAGCAGGCAATGCTGATAGAGATGGGGATATGAGTGTATGCTTCTGCAATATGCAGTGTTACTGTATATCGTACTTTTTTTACCAAAAAAATATCATTGATTCTGATCTTCCTTTTGTTCCCAAACTCTCCGTAGCCTAATATAACCTTAATAACACTCGAGGCTATTTTTAATCTCCATATAATTGTAACTCGTGCACTGAAGACCAGATTTCTTGTGGTCACCCAAATCTGTGCAACCTATTAGGATTAAAGTTGAATGTTTTAATCCTTTGTTGAGCTAGCACAGCTAATTGCTTGTAAGGGACAGATATGTGGTTTGTTTTGTTCTTGAAAATGAATTTTACCTTGCAGTCATATACTCATATGCCTCCTCTAGAAAAAGCTTCAATATTAGAATAACTTTTTCATTGACTATCGTGCCAAATAGTAGAAATATGGACAATATTTGTAGTTAATTTTATTTTTATGAAGTAAATGGGAATCTTCGGTTCATATTCAATTAGCTTATTTATATCACTGTCTTGGCTTACTCTTGCTTGATTTACCCATTTCTTCACAGAGAAAGAGATTCAGATAGAGATGGGAAGATAAACTTTAAAGAATTTTTCCATGGGCTATTTGATTTGGTAAGAAACTATGATGAAGAAAATCACAATGATTCTCATCATTCTGATAATTCAATGGATGCTCCAGCTAGAGTGTTGTTTGCTCAGCTTGACAAAGATGGCGACGGGTATTCACCTTTTTTATTTTCATTAATAGTCTACTTTCTTTGAATGATTGTGGTAGTCTCCTTATAATATATTGTTGAAAACCATGTCTAGGTTGGTTCATTGTATATACTTGTCTAGGTTCATCGTAGTGTCTAGTTTATACTTGTATAGGTTCATTGTACCTCTTTACCTCTTTGGTTATTTAAACTCCTCTCTGTGGTGTAGTTAAAACAGACAGATGTACAAATTTTCTCTTTGAAATTCAACGTGATATGAGAGCTAGGTTGATGAGAGACAATCTCATTCCGTGTCTACCTGGTGGACTCACTGCCCACTGGTACAAAATTATTTCGGAAGCCATGTATCCACTCTGATTGTTGTCTACCCGGCCCTATCATGATTTTGGCTACCTCTGCAACTCAATTCTTTTTGGCCTGCCACTCTATCAACTTTTCTGGCAGTTGAAAATGTAGGAAATCAGGATTCAATTATTGTAAGAAATCAGGACTCAAATATTTCCGTTTAATTAGTAGATAGGATTCATGACTCATTGATAGGATTGATTAATCATCGCTGAGTCATTCTTAGCTATTCTTTCTTGTATAAATACTCCTTATGAAATTTATTCATAAATCAATATACAGAAAAACAATTCCTTTTATATTTCAATAGAAATTTTTTTCAACCAGATCTAGTAACCCTCAGATTTGAAGTGCTTTGTCAGGCTATCCAGAATTTTTTTTTTTTTTTTGGGGGGGGGGGGGGGGCTGCTGCCATTGTCAGCCATCCTTCACGTTTCCCTTTCTCTACGCACCATATACATGTGCCACTAGCTAGTGCCTCCTCGCACTCTCAGAGGTCTGAAAGGAATACTTGACCTGCATGATCTCACACCCACAAGCCCTAGCCAAATGCAAGCACAAACTCACCAAGCTTGGCCTCAACGTGGTGCAAGAGGACATTGATGACAACACCGGTGCCACTTAATTCATTGCCTCAAACAATCTCCTAGACATAACTGTTATCGCGAGCGCATGGGAGCTCTACCTTTGGTAGGTTATTTCCGATAGGATCTAGGATGACCCAAGCAATGTGACCCAAATTGTGAGGTTGGCCCGAGAATCCATCATTCTTTGAATGGATTGGCTGGTCAAGATGAGCATTATGTTCGTGGTTGATAAAGGAAATTCAATGATATTTACAATGCTTCTGGCATTTGTGTTTAGGAACATCAGCTTGACGAAAAATGAATCTAAGCCTCATCGTAGCCATCCAATTCCTGCTGTAGATGATGAAAGTGAGGGAATTGCCAAGAACTTTGAGTACATTTTCTATATTGATTTTAAGGCTTCTATGGCTGAGGTTAGGGCACGAAGCGCTCTTGCGGGGGTTCAAGTGTTCACCTCTTTCTTGTGAGTGTTGGGGATTTACCATATTGACATGGCATTGTGAAGCATCTTCACACTCAAGGTCACTAACCACCTTTCAAACCAAATTGTTCTCCCTTTCTTGCCCTTTTTTATTTCTTTTTCAATGCCAACATAGCATTAGGGGGAGAAATTTGGAAGACGATATGGCCCCAATCTTTCTAGATATGGTCCGGCCATGCTATCTTTGTCCCATGTACATAATCTGACCCTAGTCTTTATCCCAAATGCAATCTGGCCCTCGTACAATGATGAATGAAACCAATGGTGATTTCTACTATCTCATTGATGAGTCATGCCAACAATAAATTCAATGAATGTATACTAGCCTGACTTTCAATCTCAATATTATTAGGTCTCCTAAGTTTTCCTGTAGTTTGTATTTCCAAATGTTGTTCATGATGAATATAGAGAAGTTTTAGTTCTTTCTATCCATAATTGCTTGTCAGGACATTTCCACTGGTGATCGTTCCACCTAAGTCTTTTCTTCCTTGGCCATGTAGCATTTCAACCAATTCTCCAGGCTGATGATCATTCCAGCCATCTTGCTGATTCGCCTTTGACATCTCTGTCATCCTTGAATTGCCTTTCAAACCATGTTTTGTGGAGCCAATATTATATTTTTTGGTTTCTTTTTTTAAAATTTTAAAAGTTATGTTTGTAACAAGCTTAAAGCTTAATAAGCTTTCGCTTAAGGAGGAGTGTTGAAAACCATGTCCATGTTCATACTTGTCTAGGTTTATTGTACCCCTTTACCTCTCCTTTTGTGTACTTATAACGCTTGTACAGATTTTCTCTCTGAAAGTTAACGTTTACTATCATTCAATTTTGGGTTTTAATCTCAATCTTTGCAGGTACTTGTCAGATGTTGAACTACTGCCTATAATTGGGAAGCTCCATCCATCTGAGCATTATTATGCAAAGCAGCAAGCAGATTACATCATATCGCAGGTACTGAATTTAACCTTAAGATAATTACACTCTTGTTGTTGACTGTAAAGAACCAATTCAACCCAAAAGCTTAAGCTGTTGGGTGAAGCTATATTAATGGTTTTATATAACTTTAACATGCCCCCTCACATGAGAGTCCATTGGGCTTGAAGGGTGGACAATGCACAGGCTCAACTACATGTGCTAAGAAACTCCACAATACTAAATTAATTATTAATTAAATGGGGTGGTGAGGATAGAACCCGTGACATGAAGTTCTGATACCATCTAAAGAACCAATTTAATTCAAAAGCTTAAGATGTTGGGTGAGGCTACGTTAATGGTTTTATATAACTCTAACATTGACTAAGGTGCCAATTCTTTCTTGCAAAGTCATCTGAACATGCAAATGACTATTTATTCTAATGATTTTGATTTATAGAGCAAGTAGGAATAGTTCCCACTTCCCAACTGAAACAGATTCACTAACATACTAATTTGATAGGAACCCAGGTATTTCATTATTGAAAAAATTTAGTAAATTTCCCAATTACAGAAACAGATTCACAAAGATAGACTCTCCCTCACTCCTAGCAGACAGAAAGCTAATTGAAACACTCAAAAACATAAAAGAAGAAAATACAGCACAGGTCATTTGAGAGACCTATAACCTCCCATCCAATCTCACCCTCAATCATTGCTTGCTTCCCCCTTCCCTCTCTTTTTATTCCACCTTTTCTCTTGTAACCTCCTAACTGATTTTTCCTGTGCACCCTACTAATGGGTGAATTCACCTTAAGGCAAAAGTTTTTAAAAAATATTGCCAGATGTTTCTAATAGCCGACATATGACATATCAGAAGTAATAATGTCATATAGTTGATAATGATGATAAGTTTTCTATACCTTGATGGGTCTGAGGGCAATTCTTCATCTGCTCCATCTTTGGTGTCAAAATGACACTTCTTTTTTAGATCAATAATGTCTCTTACTATAGCCATGTGTATAAATACATGTACTTTATGGTATTTATTGGTGATAGCATACTGGCTGCTGCTTTTTAGTTACTGAAAAGAAATTTTTTTTAAATAAAGGTTTTAGCTTGTAATTGATAATTCTACCTTGCCTGATCTCTTCAAAATCTGAATCTGTCGCTAATGAGTTCCCATTCTTTACGGATGAGAGAATATTTGATATTTGATTTGTCTGCCATTCTTTTCTTTTCTTTTTTAATTGTTTTGTGCTCGTTTTAATTGTTATAGCTTCGTGGGGGACTTTATTAAGTAAATTAATTTTATTACAGCCAGATTCATGTCCACTCCTTGCTGCTAAGAAATTTAGTTTTGGTGAATATATACTCGTTTAGGAGGGAGAAAGGAAAAGGTTTTCTTTCCTTTGGTGGGAGACCCGGGGGTGTGTATCTTCTATATAACAATGTAAAGTATTATATATTAACCCATCTTGTTTTTGGAGGGAGGAAGAGAATGGTTTTCTTTGCTTTGGTTGGAGGGCTGGGGTGCATTTTTCTATTTAACAATGTCAAATGTGAAGTATTATATGTCAACAAATCTTTTTATTTTTGGAGGGGATTATGTCGGTCATTCTTGATTTACATGTTAAGCGTTTTTTAACTAGATGCTAGCATTGGATTAAATTTTCGTGATGATTACCTCAGCATGCACTCCATCATCTATTGCGGAACATCATGAATTAACTTCATTGTAATAATGTTATGACCAGCAGATATTGACAAACATAGCTCAACACACACCCCAACATCCGTTGCATAACATCATGCGTTAATTTTATCAGTAAACATTGTATAAAGTTATGAAATAATGTTATGACAGGCAGACGTTGACAAAGATGGGCGCCTTACTTTGACTGAGATGATTGAGAATCCATATGTATTTTATAGTGCTATTTTCAATGATGATGAAGATGAATATGATTACCACGATGAGTTCCGATAAATTCATGAGGTAAAGCCATCTCTCTTATTCCCAGTCTATCTTAACCTACATTTAGTGAAGATTTTCTCTATAATGTTTTATGATCATCGATTGCAGGATACACAGAAAAGCTTGGGACAATTCTAGTGCAAAGGAGTCAATATTTGAAGGTTTATGAGATGCCAGAATTTTGATGTTTTGGCCCTTAATGTGTTCCTTGTCTCAATCCTGGTGGGGTTTTGAGCGATGGCAACATTTATTGCTTCTTTCCATTCATATTATATGCGAGTTCTTGTTTGCTGATGGGATCCACCGTGACTTGTCGTAGAGTCACTCCTGGATTAGTTGGAGGATTATACGATCTGAACTTAATTGTAAAATTTGTAGAATAGGATTTTCAAATCAGTGGTTGAGCCATCATTAATTAAGTAGAACACACCAATTCTCAATGGATAATACATGTACCATAGAACTGTAATGACCATCATAATCCTAGTAGTACTGTGAATTATTTTGGACACAAGTAGCAGTGCCATATTGTTTAGAAAAACATTAATTAAAGGGTTTTGATTTTCTCGCAGGGGATAGATATTTCATGTTATAGACACCTCTTGTGTGAGGTTTACATCTATTAAAAAAAAAATTTGTTGTACAAAAATCGAAGTATCACTAATAAGAGAAAACAATTTTCCTTTTAATAAAAAGGCCAAAAGTTTTTTATTCTTCTATGTAAAAGCTTAGATTAAAATTCCATTTTGCTTGAGTATATTTGTGGTCATTTTGGTTTCTTACTAGTTTTTTATTTACTTGATATGTCAAAGTTTAAATTTTTATTATTTGACTTTTTATTTAAATAATGAAAGCGAGTGAATGATATGTGAATAAAATTCTAGAGATATAAATTTGAAGGATCAAAATGACAAAATTAATGCTTGTTTGCTTGTGTGTGTTTTTTTTAGAAAAAATATATATTTTTTAATTAAAAAATGTTTACAAAAATGTAAAATAATCAAGTAAGTCTTTTCTGAAAACAAAATCTCAAAAATAAAGTTTACCAAAAAAAAATCTCAAAAATAAAAATATATATTTAATTTTTGTTCTTAAAATTAAAAAAAAATAGCTTTAAAAGAAATTTTTTTAAATATTTTGTCTCATGAAAGTGCATACAATGAATTGTCAAATAAAATAGTCACATGCATACAATGAATTACAAGTGTACTTGCAAGCAGCTATCAGCATTGTCAATTTCAAAATTAATTAACAGTAACAGTAGCAGATAGGCGTCCACGTTAGTCTAAATAATTCTATTTGACAATAAACAAGTCAAGCAGATGATAAAAGGAGAGACTACATACTGATGTTGGAACACCTGTAAGAAGGTGCACCATGCAACTTCTACAACGAAAGACGAAAGTGCCTTTACTTATTTAATTACCATTATTTTATGTGAGAAATCAACTAAAGCTTACGATCTAGTATAGATTGTCCACTTGGAGCAAATCTTTACCATCATCCCAATTATACACTTTTATAATCAGAATTAATATTTCTCGTATCTTCTATATATGCGTCAAAACTTATGGAGTTCATGTTAGGTCATATAAAGAGAAAAGAAAAAAAAATAAGTTTCACACACTTTTATGTATGTGTAAAAAATAAAATTATTTCTTACAACGTGATAAATACTAATCTTTTTATAATTACCAACGTAATAGCCTCAATGTAGAAGTTCAATTTAAAAATGTAATAAGCTTTTAATGACCTCCATGAACCACCATGATATAAAAGATATAATTTATATTTTATACCTTTTTCATGACATAGATAAGCATGTGTAATTTTCTTTTGGTTAGCTTCACTTTTGATAAGTGAGCTATATAGCCTTCACCACATGACCATCACCAACGATCATTTTTTTATTTTTTATTTTTCAAAAGAAACGACAAGATAGCTTATTTCGGAGTATTAAAATTAAGTCAGAAAAAGTAATCACATCACATGCATACAAAGATTACAAGTGTACTTCCAAGTCAAAAGCAGATATCAGTTATTTTCAATTTCAAAATTTACAAATTTAGCACTACGCCTGCTATGACATGTTAATCTAAACAATTCAATTTAATAATAAACAAGTCAAGCACAAAATAAAAAGAAGCAACAAATTATACAGGGTACATCGCTTCTCATGTGACTGCTGATGAAAAAAGTTGCAGTAAATTTTTAACACTAGAATACACGTGCGGATCCTAGGATATACGTGCGGATTCTATCAAAAACAAAAAATAAAAAAAATCAGAATTCGAACGCATATCCTGTGTTGCTGCAAGTTTTCCCAGTAAGAATTACTTTCACCAATTATATATTGTGGGAACACATATAAGAAGGTGCACATGTCACTTGCTACAGTGAAAAAAAAAACCTCATATAATATAATTTTCTGGTCACCACCTCCAACAACATGATAACAACCAGTTTTCGTGAGGACTCTAAGAACCTATGAAATCTACCACCTTCTCTTTGTGTTTATAAACGTTAGTGTATCGCACTACCGAAACGGCTGGAACTATCTGTTTCCATTTTAAAATTAGTCCCCATCATCACCAAAGGAAAAAGACAAGTTTCCTCTCTATATTTAAGACCAGTTCCTTGTCACCTTGTGCAAGCTTTTAAGATAAACATAATATACCCTCTATTATAAGCCATAACTGAAACTTTTAAGCTGATTCAGGCTTGAAAGTTTCGATGGCTGAAACCAATACAAGTAAAAAAAGCTCAAGGCATTGGGAATATATTTGTAGTTTTGCTGATAAAGTGAAAAGGTTTCCAAGTTTGGCGAGGAGGACAACATGGAAAGTTGGCAAAGAGGATCCAAGAAGGGTGGTTCATTCTTTGAAAGTTGGTATGGCTTTGACAATAGTTTCTTTGCTGTATCTAATGGAGCCATTGTTCAAAGGTATAGGGAAAAATGCTATGTGGGCTGTCATGACTGTGGTTGTGGTGATGGAGTTTACTGTAGGTACGCTATTCTAAGTTACATTGTTCTTTTTTTAGATCATAGCCTCTTAAGTCATAGATATTGAAGAATGTGTTCATTTCATCCTTTTGCTTTTCCTATGATTGCAGGGGCAACATTATGCAAAGGACTAAATAGAGGATTGGGGACTCTGCTTGCAGGATCATTGGCATTTTTGATTGAGTATGTTGCTGATGCTCCTGGTCGGATTTTTCGAGCGGTTTTCATTGGTGCTGCAGTTTTTCTTTTAGGTAAGCGTTCATCGCAGTCATGAAAGAAACTTGACTCTTATCTGGCGTTTGGTAGAGGAGAAATTTTTTTTTGTCCGGGAATCTCAATTTTCAGAAATATGAATTTTACGTTTAGTTTACGATAATATTTGAAAATTAAAAATTTAGAAAAATTCAGTTTTCTGGAAATTCTCAAAAACCCCGCGTACCAAACGGGTAGTTTAATCATAATTTGAAAGGTTTTTTGGAGAGTATTCAAAAGTAGAGATATCCAGGTGGATAAATTATGCAGTTTCTTTAGTACAAACATTTGGAATCACATGTCAAAAGATACAAACCATACTTCCTTGCATTGCCCATTAAACCTATTGGTTATTAGTGGTTATGGTGCTAAATTGCTAATCTTTGGCCTATGTTTGTAATTTTAGTTATACTCAGAAAATGTAAAGAAATGCTAATCAAGTTTTGTGTCTTGTTACCAAATGTTTTGTTGAGCCATTGTTTCACTTTTTGGTTGCCAGGAGCAGCAGCTACTTATGTCAGGTTCATCCCCTATATTAAGAAGAATTATGACTATGGTGTTATGATATTTCTCTTGACCTTTAATTTGATAACTGTATCAAGTTACCGTGTTGATAATGTCTGGAGCATTGCAAAAGATCGCATCTCCACCATTGCCATAGGCTGTGGTCTATGTCTTGTAATGAGCCTATTGGTATTTCCAAACTGGTCAGGGGAAGACCTCCATAACTCCACCATATCAAAGCTCGAAGGCTTAGCCAACTCTATAAAAGGTAAGTTGAAAGAAAAGCACTCAAGTTTGTGAAAACAAAGAACTGCTAAATAGTACTATTTATTAAATATGAAAAAGTTACTTTGGTTCTATTATTGTCTCTATCTATATCATTGATGGTCAAAAGAATCATGCAGTTTGTGTCATGGAATATTTTTATGATTCTGAAAAAAGAGCAACTCAAGATGATTCATCTGAGGATCCCATTTACAAAGGTTACAAGGCTGTTTTAGACTCCAAAGCTAATGAAGAAACACTGGTAACTCAGAGCCCCTTCCTTGTCAAGTTAGACATATCTGAAAATAGTGCTTTATTGCAACAGATCTTATATGGACTTTATGTGTGAAATTAAACAGGCATTACAAGCAAGCTGGGAGCCAAGATACTCAAGACATTGCCACAGAATCCCATGGCAGCAATATGCAAGAGTTGGAGCATCTCTTCGCCATTTTAGTTACACTGTTGTAGCACTACATGCATGTCTGCAGTCTGAAATTCAGGTACTAAATCCAATAGTTTAGGGAGGAAAAACACTTGAAGTTTTATATGATGCCAAAAGAGACCATTCTTGTAACAAAAAATGGGACTAAAATGTGTTTCTTCTTTCTAATAAGTAAATAAAAAGATTATCATTTCCTAAATTTTTTTTAATATTACTTGGAAATATCCTGAATCCTGTTCCAAGCATCTAATGGTTGAGAATGCAATGACACTTCTTGATGCAAGCTGGTAGCTGCATTTCTAATCTTACTGATGTCGCTTTTCATTTAATTTCAGGTGAATTGAATCATTTCATTATGCCAACTCATTTTTTCCCCAAAAATTCAACTAGCGTCCATAATTGAACTCCTGGAATATTTGTCAATCTGTCATGTTATTGATAGCCACATGGATAACAATCACTTTAAATATCAATCATTGATTAAGTTCTAGAATCTGAATGACATTCAAGACCATTTTGTTTAGCAATTAAACACAAAATGGTCTACATTATTCTTTTGGCTAGCACCTTTACAATAATTGTAATAACCACTAGTATAAAATATAACTTTCTTATTTGATGCTTATTGTCATAATTTAATGATATATGCCTTTTAACTTAAATAACATTTGATTCTTAAGACACCAAGGTCGATTCGTGCCCTATACAAAGACTCTTGCATCAAGCTTGCAGAAGAAGTGTCTAAAGTACTAAGGGAACTTGCCAACAGCATAAGGAACAATCATCAATTCTCCCCTCAGATATCTAATAATGTCAATGAAGCTTTACAAGACCTCGACAATGCCTTGAAATCCCACCCCCAACTTTTACTAGGCTCGAGGAATGGTCGAACCACAAACAACTCAACTCAAGCAGTTGCACTTGCTGACCAAAAGCTTAAAGAAGACTCTAGAATCTCATCATCAACTCTTAAAAATGATTCTCTTGCCCCACTTGAATGTAAATCCAAAGAGCACTCGCGTGAACAACCAAAGGAAGCACATGTACACAAGAAGGTTTTAAGGCCACAACTGAGTAAGATTGCCATCACTAGCCTTGAGTTCTCAGAAGCACTACCCTTTGCTGCTTTTGCTTCTTCTCTTGTGGAGATGGTAGCAAAACTAGATCATGTTATAGATGAAGTTGAAGAACTGGGAAGAATGGCGCACTATAGAGAGTTCAGAGATAATGATGAGATTGTTGTGACTTGTGAGAGACAAAAAATGAACATACCTCAGAATGACTTGCCTTCTTATGGAGCAGAGTAGTTAGTAGAATCCATTTAGTGTTTATCATCCCATGAGCAGAGTTATCATTTGTTGATAATTCAAGTCTCACATCAGATAGGAATGAACAAGTAAGGAACATATAATTGAAAGGACCCATAAAAACTAATTCCTTCACTTGGTAATTTAAGTGCTTCCACAACAAGTATCCCTAAGTGCAAAGTGGGTGGTTCCTTTAGTTTGTTAATTATAAGCTTACTTGCTTTGATTTAGTTGAATGTTGTTTACATTTCCTATGTTTCAACTTAGATCTCTTACTAGCCTTGTGTATTAAGGAAGTGTAAGACATGTACTACCTTTGGGTATGTGATTTTAGCTTATAGTCCTCAAGTTTGATCGCATGGAAAGCTGAGTTCTCATTCCTCAATAATTATTCATTTTGAAGATCCAAAGAATTTATATGAATTCTGAACAATGTGATGCAGCTCCTTTGATTTGTTAATGAGCAAAGAAAGACATATTATATGTTTGAATCTTAAAGACATAACTTGTTGCCACCCAAAACTGGCGGAGAAAGATAATGAAATATCAATTTATCTGTTTATTTAATTTAAAATTATATTAAGCTCATTGATGAATTCAAGACTTGTGGTCTTTTGGCTGCAATTATGCATTTTCGGAAATGATAGAAAAAGCAGCAGCTAACAAACCTCTCAAACTTCACAAGTGGAAAGAAATTGTTAACCTAACCACGAGAAGAATTTTGGTGGTCCTGGACTACCATTAATTCAGGGGTCCAAACCAATCAAAATGAGACAACTATTGAACAGAGAGGAGAGAGGAGAAATAAAAAATAAACTCTTGTACAAGTGTCACTCACTGAATAGAAGGATTACATAGGGCCTGGAGCACCAAAAAAATTTCCCTAACCACAGCCCGAAAATTTTCTCCCACATTATTGCAAATATAAAGAATTAAATATGGTCTTCTTGAAGGAGAAATGTAATTAAAAGCATACGTCTATTAGTAGATGTTTTACACAATATAGCATTGTGTCTATTATTCAAATAACCTCTGAAAAGAGAGTTACAAACACAAAATCAAAACGAAATGGAAGGCTAAACAGGGATGTTAAACTAAACTACTCATGAGCAACTAAAACTACTTGTTTGCCAGCACTACGGCCTGTGAACATTGCTTCCAATGCAGCTGGGCCACTCTCAAGGCCTTCAGCTATGTCTTCAACGTATGTTATCTTCCCTTCCCTAATATAAGGCAAAATAATCTCCAAGAACTTAGGATATAGGTGATAGTAATCATACACTGTGTAGGCTTCAACTCGGATCTGCTTATATATGATATTCACTAAGTTTTTAATGCCTTGAGGCTCATCAAGATCATACTGTGAAATCATTCCAGCCACCACAATTCGACCACGCCTTCTCATGTTAAGAAGGGCTGCCTCAAGCATGTCTCCCCCAACATTATCAAAGTAAATGTCAATGCCTTCAGGGAAGAACCTACCAATAATTGCAGCAAAATATAAGATTGTTAATATTTAAGCATTCAGATAAGTTGATTTCCTTATCTTCTGTGAGATCAATAACTGTTTATTAGGATAATTAAAAGTTAATTTTTGTCTATGATGAGATCATTTAAAGTTTTGAATATGCTGAATGCCAACTATGTAATCACCTCTTCAAAGTTGCATCCAGGTCTTGTTCCTCCTTGTAATTAAAAGCCCCATCAAACCCGAACTTACTCTTCAAAATTTCAACCTTATTTACATGAAAACAGAACAATAAATTGGCATTCTTGTTCAACTAGATAAATGCTTTTACTCTACTGTGCAAAAATTTACCTTATCTTTACTTCCTGCACTTCCAACAACATAACAGCCCATCAATTTTGCTAGTTGTCCAACTAGTTGACCAACTGCACCAAATGCTGAAGATATAAAGACATAATCTCCTTTTTTAGGGACACCAACTTCATAGAAACCTGCATAAGCAGTCATACCAGGCATACCTGCATTTGAAAAAGTTCACAAATCTAGTTTAATATAATATGCTGCTGTTAAAGAATTGTCATGCTGTCCATGTCCATGCATATGATAAGGAAACTCCTGAAGAAGAAAAGTCTCAAGTTATTTACCAAGAATTCCAGTATAATAGGAAAGAGGTACATCTGTATGCTCAATTTTGAAGAGGCTATCAGTCATGGTGATGATACTGTATTCTTCCCATTTGGTGACTCCCCACACCAAGTCTCCTTTTTTAAAGTCTGGGTGTTTGGAATCCAACACTTTGCATACTCCATACCCAATTATTAGCTGAGAGAAAAATATCAACCCCACAAAATTAAACCTTAAAAAAGTTACACACATATTCCTTCTTTCAAATTTAAAGTACTGTTCCAATATAAACAAAGATAACATGATTATATAAAAAGTATTATGTGTGTGTGTGTGTGTGTGTGTGCTTACTGAATCAGGAGAGAAGGAATAAAAGAGGCGCTTTGTATTTGTTTTATTGGTTCCTCTCATGTAAGGATCACAGGATAAATAGAGGTTCTTAACCAGCACAGCATCTGAAGAAGCCTCAGGAGGAAGTTGTAAGCTTATGGTAGAACTTTGCAAATACATGTCTGTTTGTTTTGGATTCCCAGTTATGTGACCTGCAGCAAGAACCTGTTTGTTGCTTACTTGCTCTTCCACTTGTGCCATTGTTTCAGTTTTTGAATTGATCTTAATCTCCTCCCTTCACGGCTCTTCTATGTTACTAAATGTTCTGAGGATGCTTCTTTCACTATGTACTTATATAGGGAGAGCAATCAATGGAACAGGTCAAAAAGTGATTCTTCAATTTTATCTCATGAAAAGCAGTTCTTACAGACTTTTCCAACTGACTTTTATGTGCAGGTCAGTATTATTTTCGAATGTCAGTGCTGACGCCATCATTATAGTGCTCATTCATAAGAGATAATATATCATATTAACTGCCGATAATATTAAGCATTAAGAATAATTTTATGTTGAGAGTGGATCTCTCATGTGGTCATATAATCATATTATTGGATCATAATCACTTATTTAAAAATTATATATTTTCTCTCTTTTTTAATTGTAATGAAATAATATGATCACTATTTTTTTTATATATAAGAGGATGCAAATCCTTTTAGTGTAATACGTGTTAATGTAATACGTGTTACACTGTCATTCCATTTATCTATTATTGCATCATTATAGTGTTTAACTATGATAAGGTCAGAAGGAGTTATCAAAATGCACTTGACCATTGTTTTTTTCCCCTGTAGTTGAATAGGGCTGTTGCTGGCATACGTCACGTCAGTGCCAACTTCATTAGTACCGAAAACATTGAATTCAAAATAAAACGTGTCTCTATTATAGCTAAAGAAAGTATAGAGCTTTTCTTTTGATAGGGTTTATTTTTGTGAATAAAAGAAAGAAAAAAAACTATTACGAGAAGAATTCTAGCAGGGCAAGAATCTCAAGTTGGAGTCGTCAACTGATCTGTTTTTTGTTAGGAGTAAAAGGACTTTGAGAATTTAACCCCAAAAAAAAGACTTTCAGTATACACCAAGTTCAAGTGGAGCTTATTCCTTTAATGCAACTTATTTCCTTATTTAATGAAACTTACTTCCTTAGTTATAGATCTTGAGTTTAAATTATCATTATACAAAAAATAATAAGGGACAACCGCTCCCAATTCGAGTCAGACAATACTTGAACCAAATTAAAAAATATATATTCAGATCTGCAATAGCCATCGGCCATGAGGTGAAAGCATCGTTAGATTTTAGGCCTCTTATTAGTCAGACAAAGTGATTTCCATATTCGATCTATTTGAATCATTAGCAAAACTAATTTTACATTTGAAAATGTTCATTATCGAATGGATTGAATGACGAAATTGGCACCAATATTACATACCATAAAATTAGTAAAATTAAAATAAAATACACTAGTGCCGTACAACAGTTCATTCTATGACTCCTTTTCACAGAGTGAGCTCTTTAGCATTTAAGGTAATTTAACATCATGGATATTAAATCAAACAACAAAGACTAAAGACCATACTTGTGCCACCAGACATCTGAAGACAGGCAGGAAGATTTTCACTGTTCCTTTGCTTTCTTACGTGCCAGAAAGCGTTCTTTTGCTGCAGCAAGAGCATCTTGACTTCTTTTGTGATGCTCGGGCTTTGGTTGAGAAGCTGATGGCTCTTCAACTGAACTCTTTTCTTCTACAAAAGGCTCGGGATTTGGCTTCATATCCGAGGGACTGATGCTTCCATTGGGAGGATTAGAAGTTTCACCCTGATCCCCAATCTTTTTCCGAGAAGACTCCTCCAGTGAACTTGAGTTACCCAATGAATGTTGCACTTCATCTGATGCATCAGTATGCTGATGCCGATTTGATGTGTCAGGGCTCACTCCCTCATGTGTCTCTGGAACTATATTCTCAGCCCGATGATCAAGTTTCCTCCCTTGAGCATCTTTTGCACCATAAGCAACATTTTTACCGAGGTTCCCATAAAAATCAAGCAAAAAGTCCTTCTTCTTGGTAACCTATGCAAATATTAAAATAAAAAATATGTCAGTTATTTAAAATACAGATATAGGAATTAAACCATCAACAAGCATGCTGATTTAATTCAAAAATATACACTCAAATGAAGGATAAACAAAGAAGGCAAAATATTAGACTTTTAAAATCCATTACCAATCAGGTTAACAAGAAGAGATATGAAAACATCATAATGATTATGGGAAATTTAAAAAAGCAAGAATATACATCTTCTCTCTCCTCTTGAAGTTCGCGCAGGCGTTCTAGCTCCATTTGTCTCTCTCGTTCAGCAAGTTTCCTTCTATATGCTTCTGTAATGAATTTGTCTTTATCAGCAAAGAGATGGTCATCTTTGCTTCTCTCTTTGGCAATCTTTTTCTCATAAACAATCTCCCGATACTGTTCTCGCTCTTTTGCTTTTTTCATCAGATTTTGGATATATTTTGGCTGCATCAAAAAGATTACAGGTTGATATGTGCCAATGTCATTTAGCAAATTACCCAAATGAACAAATTTCAACGCTAGCTCACAAAAGTAAAACAAGAAAATAAATTTAAACCAGAGTTACCAAACAATTAAAGAGGAATAAGCACATACACTACTTGAAACTCACTATCAACCATTCTTACTATTCTAACAATGTGTTTGCTGTAACGTTTCGACACTTTAAGAGAGAATTTGTGTCCATGCATGTCAAACACCAATACCCAGATTGACAGGAACACCTTTATACACTACAGTACTCTTGGAAAGACGGAAATATTAAATCTTAATATTTCACAACCTTGATTCTATATAAAGATTACACATTAAGCATATTTTAAGTACATTTCCATATGCTACTTGATGATCTATCTATCTATCTATCAACCATATATATCTATCACTTTACTGAGCTACAAGCATAATACACTGGTCGTTCCATTGTAATTTTTTAATAAGAAAATGCTTAGAACTGCAACCATACCTTTCTCTCTTCAAGATCTTGTACCAATGGACGAGTGACTTTCTCTTTCATTTTGTCATAGACTCCATCATAATCAAATATGGACGGATCTTCTTCCAAAGCTTTCTTTTGCTGTTCCTCAACCTTAAAAAGGAAAAACAAAACGAAAAGTAAGATCATGATGTAAACTATGGGTCATAAAAACAACCACCAGATCAGAAAGTATAAAACACCAAAGAAGATATTACAGCAAGGTCAACTTACTTCCCTGAGAGTTTTATTCTTGCTAGCCTGGAGAGCAATTTTTCTCTCAACGTCATTCTCGTCGTCGTCATCATCATTAAAGCCAAAAGGGGTGGCAAGGGAAGGCCTTATTGGCTGCTTCTTCTGCTTTGCAGGTCTAAGGTTCAAGCCATACTTGCTCATTTTACCCTGGCTTCTTAACTGCAGTTTGAAGACAAAGTGAAGCATCGATTACTTGTATCATTCCAATTTCATTTGTATAAAAAAAGCAAGCTTTGATCATTAGAGAAACACATTAAGAATAAAACTTCGACAAGAAGCCCGCTACTAGCAGCTCAAGCATCAGAATATAAGTAGAAATGTATCGTGTGACCAAAATTTTCAAGTAGCAGTAACAAAATAAATACGAAAACATCAATGGTAGATAATTACTAACAATACTCCATCAGTGTCTAATGGTGAACATATGAATTTCGAAAGTTGATAGTGTACGATACAAGGTTTTGAAATCATAGGGATTTCAGGCAACTTCAATAATCATGAGTAAGTATGCCTTGTGATTTCTATACCTACCGCAGAATGATCAAAAATAATTTTGCATATATGATTTGTGAATGGTGCGAATGACTATACGAGGAGCGACAAGAAAGATAAACAAATAACCAAGACCATTTTGATTTCATTCATAAAAATTCAAACCCAAACTATTGATTAATCTCCACAGGACAGAACCTTCGATGTTACGGAAAGCGCAGTTTGAGCATTGGTACAAAACCCTCCCAATTCAAATCATATCGTCCACAATATTGAAGAAGGAATTACCTTGATTCTGTAAAATTGAGAGACTTCGCTTGTGCGTTAGGGCTTGAAGAATCTCTGTTCAAATCGTCGTGTCTTTACCTTTGAGCTAGCCGCGACTCAGAGAGCGCGAACTAGAGAAAACGGAATACATAGGCCCAAAATTATCATGTACACCCAATAAGAGCCCGGCCCAATACAGTTTCTTTCGATTCGAATAGCCCAAGGGCTATGTTTGCTTCCGTCTATAAAGGGTTTGTTTGGTTGGCTGATTCATCAAAGCAAATAATTTTAAAAAATAAATAAAATAATGTAATTTGATCATATTTCATAATTTTTAAAAATTATATTATATTGGCCAATCAGTTTGATTTGATTCAATTATTTATTTATTTATTAGAATAGTAACTAAAAATTAAATCCTAAACCAGAAATAATTGAAAAGATAATATAACATGTTTTCTTTTCGAGAAAATAAAAATTCATTTGCGTTACTATTTTCCAGTGAAAAAGTAACATGCTGTTATTTTTTTCAAAATAAAAATAAAAATTAAAAGACGAAGTGTGCAAGAAACATTCTAGTCGATAATGTTAGGTACGTGAATGAAACATTAGAAAGAGGGGAAAAAAATGAGGAATGATATTGTAACAACTTTTAAGTTACTATCAAAAGTTACTATCAATCAATCTCACTGTTAGATTGATTATGTTGATCCAATAATTATATTTATTTCTATCTAGGTATGGTCATGATTTTCCATATTTAATACTTTATATTTGTTTTTACCTTTGTATGGTTATGATTTCTCATATTTAATGCTTTCACTTTAAATATGAGAAACCATGACCATACAAAGATAGAAATAAATATAACTGTTGGATTAATATAATCGATCTAATGGTGAGATTGATTGGTAGTATCTAAATAATAACATAACTTGGTTGTTACAATATCCTTCTCCGAAAAAAATTATTAAAACAACAAAATTTTAAAAAACAATAACGATAAATAAATAGAGAAAGAGAAAGAATAATCATGCGACATTTGGCACTGCTTTTATGAAATTGTAGACGGTCAAATAGAACAGATGAAAGGAACAAAAAATCGAAAAGTGAAAAGGAAAGGCAAAGATGCAAACTCACGTGGATAAAAAATATGATATGGTCACGTGGAGAGGGCATAACCATGTAAAGATAAATTAACGGTTATAATTTTGTAATTATTTATTTTAATATTTTTTTTCTTTTTTCTTTTATTACGATTGATCTATCTTTATCTAGTTATGATTTTTCACGTGAATTTTAACATTAGAAAATTCAAATTCAGATCCAGATCCAAAACTGATAACTACAATCGGTAAGTTCAATGAATGGGGATGTATACACACCACACCAAAACCAAGGGAGATTCTTAGTACAGGACAAAATAGGTACCATTTATTCTCCGTCTATGTTTTGAACTTTGAAACTTCTTAATTAGTCCAAGAAAAGATCAATCTCATTATAAAGTTCCATCCAGCACCTGCTCAATATTGCATAGAAACCATGGCAGATGTTAAACTACTAGGATTTTGGTCTAGCCCTTTTGTTCATAGAGTGATATGGGTTCTAAAGTTCAAGAGCATTAGCTATGAGTACATAGAAGTAGACAAGAAGAACAAAAGTCAACTACTTCTACAATCCAATCCAGTTTACAAGAAAGTCCCTGTTCTTATTCATGGAGGCAAAGCCATTGCAGAGTCTGGTGTGATTCTTGAGTACATTGAAGAAACTTGGCCGGAAAACCCATTGCTTCCAAAAGATAACCATGAGAGAGCCTTAGCTCGATTTTGGATTAAGTTTGGAGAGGATTCGGTAATTTAATCTATTCTTTGTGTACTTTATATTTACAAATTAATTGTTCGGGAATCTTATATTTACAAATTTTTTGTTTACAAACTATATATATTATGTCTGGTGGGTAATACACTCTTGAGTATATAAAGTATTACTGGTAAGACGTAGTATAATTTGTAAGCTCGTCAAAAAAAGTTTGTAAACGGATCATTTCCCATAATTGTTATCTTATTATCTTTTCTATGAATTAATGGTGTTTGATGATTTTGTTTTCTAGATCGTTTCTATTACTGAACTGTTTCTCCGACCCTCTAAAGATGAACAAGAAAGAGCAAGAGCAATGAAAAAAGCACAAGAAACTCTCACAATCATGGAAGAGGAAGGTTTAGGGAACAAGAAGTTCTTTGGAGGCAACAATATTGGATTGGTGGACATAGTATATGGATGCCTGGGTCATTGGTTAGAAGGGTTGGAGGAAATTGTGGGGATGAAACTGATTGAGGCAAGCAAATTTCCTCGGTTGCATGCGTGGATTCAAAATTTCAAACAAGTTCCTGTGATTAAAGAAAACCTTCCTGATTATGGGAAATTGTTGCTCCATCTTGAAAGGCGCAGGCAGGAATATATTATATAGTATCAGAATAAATAAGTCACAGAAATCGATATGGATCTATGAGATCAAGTATAGAATTCTGTTTACTCACTTGAAATTGAGTATCCGCCCCCCCTTCCTGTTAGGATTGGAAATCCTGTATTTTACATATTCATACGATTGAGTCCTTGGTTTTTGAAATAGTGTAAAGTGCAAGTCACCGAGTGATCAAGGAGAATGAAGTTAGAAAGTCAAGTTTTTAGGTTAAAACAAAGAGAAGATATTGTAACAACCAACTAGTATTACTATTAATATTATTATCAATCAATTTTATTGTTAGATCGATTATGTTGATCCAACTGTTATATTTATTTCTATCTTTGTATGGTTAAGATTTCTCATATTTAATACTTTATATTTATTTTCACCTTTGTATAGTTGTGATTTCTCATATTTAATACTTTCACATTAAATATGAGGAATCATAACCATACAAAGATGGAAATAAATATAATCGTTGAATCAACATAATTGATCTAACGATGAAATTGATTGGTAGTAATATTGATAGTAACACTAATTGGTTATTACAATTAATATCCTACCCCTAAAATAAATTAGGTAGAGCATTTCTTTCTAATTCCTCATGGACTGAATTCAGTTTTATTTCTATAATTTTTTTTTGGGTAAGTGTTTTATTCTATAATTTTATATGTGCTACAAAGCTATTTTTCATGGGAGTGGATCTTCTCATGTGAAAAAAATAGTCATGTGGCCATGTTATTTGATGATAATCACTCATTGATGATGAGATAAGAGAGAGAAAAGTGTATAATATTTAAATAAGTGGTTGTGATCAACTAAATGACCACATAACCATTTTTTCACATGAGAGTATCTACTCCCATTTTTCATTATCATACTACGGGTGAAGAACATTTCCAGAAATGTTTTTTTCTGTATTTTTATTCTGTAGAATAGAAATGATTATAAGTAATATTAATAAAATCGATTTATTTCATCGGTTAGCCGGAAATACAATTTGATAAATAAGAAATAATTTTGTGTTTTTTTATTCCCTTACTATTTATTAAATACAAACATCGAAGAATATATTATTATCAGCATTAAACATGCATTGTTTCTTAAATATATCATTTATTTTTTGAAAAGCAATATATCATTTATTAAATAAATATACACTTTCTCCTTGGATATAAAAAGAAATTGTGTTATCAAATATTTTTTTTTTCCAAAAATTCTTTCTAACCAAAAATAAATAAATAAATATATATATATATATATATATATATATATATATATTTCTTTTTAGAAATATTGTCATGGGCATGCCTTAGTTTAACTCCTTTTTATTATATTTTGCTTTCTATTTTCTTAAAAAATACAACTATATTTTAGGTTATATGATTAGTTGTACTGCATAATCTATATTATTGAAATGGAATTTTTTTAGACTACTTATAAGTACAACTAGTCTACTAATTAAGAGATTATTGACTTTCATCACAATCTTTAACCTTAAAAATTCCTTAACTTTTATTGAGGAAAGAAAAAAAATAACATTTTTCAGTTTCATATCCAAATTTTATTTTCCAAAAAAAACTATTATTTATTCATTACTCATTTAGTAATTTAAAATTAAAACTATAAATAAGTTTTTAATTTTTATTATGTTCTATTATACATGGAAAATATGTTTTATTAAATGTCCAAAAAAATATATTTTATTATACAATTACAATCGTATTTAAATATTTTTTAAGTTTTTACCATATAATTATTATAATTCACTTTTTATATTTTATCAAAAAAATAAAATAAATGTTAATGATAAATATGAAATGCACTAGTAAGTAATAACTAGTAATAATGATGATGATAAATTGAAAATTACTGGGTGTGAATGCTGAAATGGGGAAATTAGAATTAAAAAGTAACGGAAATGGATTCTCTCATGTGAAAAAGTGGTCATGTAGTCATGTTAGTTGATCACAACCACTCATTTATAATGAGATAAGAGAGAGAAAAGTATATAATTTTTAAATAAGTGATTGTGTTTAACTAATATGACCACTTTTTCATGTGAGAGAATCCATCTCATAGAGTTACCCACCTCTCAAAGTTTTGCATATGGAGGGTCCCAAGTCCTCTTTGTCTTTGGCACTTGTAAATGATAAGCTTCTTGAGAGCAAAAAGGTGCACACGTATTTGTGGGGACGGGGGGCGTATTGGATTGTAATAAGTAAGTTTAAGTTATGAGGTTTATAGATCAAATCCTAATCTATAATAATCTCATTCTCTCTTAATGCTTAATGTATTTTAACATATGAGAGATTATGTAAGTAAACTTATATAGTACATTGCACCAAAAAAAAAATTGTTATATTGTATTATTTTAGTTTATTCTATCTTGCTTAATATAATATACGGAAGGAGTCCTATATAAGTTTTATTGTCATGTAAAAAAAAAAATTAAAAGTGAGGTATGATTTACCAAAAATGAAACACAAGGATATAACTAAAATAAAGATCCATTTACTCTATATTTTTTGATATATTTCAATATTGCAAGTTTAAAGAAGTACAAATTTTATCTTTAAAGATTGTTGTATATAAATCTAAAAATGTTCTGCAATAAAGAGAGATGAATCTTTAGAAAATTAGAATATGGATCTAGTTAAATGAAACTCAAGTTATATTTAATGATTTAATTATTTTGGATTTATTTTTTTATATCAACCCTAATTACCAATGTTGTAAAAATCGAATAGGACCGGCCGGGTCGACCCGGAATCCGGTGAACCAGTCATTTGATTGGTCCGATTATCACATTGGATCGCTCAAGTACTAGACCCGGTGTGACTCAATTTTGGTGAAAACCGGTGACCCGGTTTTTTTTTATAAAAAATCCCAAAAAAATCATAATTAACATATTTGAGTGTTCTATTGCTTATTGACTTACATAAGTTATGTACCTACAATATTAATATTATCTCAGTTATGCACTATACAAGGAATTTTGATTTGATTTATAGTTAGAGATGTCGTTTATCGAACCTAAAATACCAATATCACAAGCATTATATGTTTGTTTGATCCTTTATTGGACAATAATGTATAATTTATTATTTCTTATATTAAAATATTTAGAATTTATATTATTTTTTCAACTATTTGAATATATTTATAATTTTTTTAATATAAATTATAAATTTATATATAATCACCGGGTCATGGAGTTCAACCAGTGACCTACTAGTTGAGCCAGTGACCCGATCGATACCTCGACCAGGTCAATGACCAATTTTAATAATATTGCTAATTACCTCTTTGAGGTGAGTAGGATGCTTCGGGTATTCTCACAAGTTTTGACTCTGAGTCGACAATTGGACTAATCCCGATTATGGGACTTAGTCACAATTAAAGCTCTTCGCCTCTCCTCAAGGATATATATGGTAGAAATCAAACACATATTATTTTTCCACCTACTCAGCCTACATCGCCAACTGAACTACACTCATTGGGTATTACTTTGGATTCTTATAGACAAATAAGAGATGAATCTTATAAGCATAGGTCTACTTAAATGAAACTTGAGTTAGTTTTAACAATATGGTTATCTTTTTGTACAACAATATGGTTATTTTTTATTCTTATATAAAAATGTCTATTACCTCAAAATTTAATATTACCTCAAAATTTAATACAAATGTATCTTTTTCTTTCATTTCCTTCCATGCTTATCGGTAATGAGAATAATCCAAAACAAACATAACTGTTCCATAAACATTTAGCTTAAATCTTTTATTGATTTTTCTTTTATATTTTCTTCAAAATCATGATCATAACCATGAGAAACATCAATTCACTCTATAATCCAAAAGGGTAAAAGTAAAATAAAGATTCATTCATTTTATATCACATTTCTTCCTCTATTTGTTTATAATATTTTGATATTGCAAATTTAAACAAATATGAATATAGTCTTTGATAATTGTTGTATGTACATCCCAGAAAAGTTATAAATGAAAAAGAAGTCAATCTTGCAAGTATAGAAATACTTAAATGAAACTCAAGTTTGTTATTGTTTATTCTGATAGGCAAATTAATGTTGATTAACATGAAGGAATTAATCGGGTGAATATGAAGTCACTTAAACGAAACTTGAGTTAGTTTTAATGATATGGTTTGGATTTTTACGGGGGAAATTTTGGTTAACACAGACATATATATGTCATGAATATGGATCTACTTAAATGAAACTTGAGCTAGTGTAATTATCTGACTAGTTTGATTATTTTGAATTCTTATAGAAAATGCCTGTTAGCCTAAAATTTAACAAAACATACTACGATCTTTTACTTTTTCATTTCTTTCAATGCTTACATGTAATGAGAATAATTCAAAATAAACATAAATATTTCTTTCACTTTTAACCCAACTCGTTTTCATTTCTTTCATTGCTTATCTCGTGAATATGAGCCTACTTAAATAAAACTTGAGTTAATGTGAACGTTATCTTTGAAATTTATTTCATACTGATCACGAAAAAATTCAAGAATAATGAAAGATGAGTAAATGTGAGCCCACTTAAATGAAATTGAGTTGGATTTAATGATCTATTTATTTTGGATTAATTTTACGGGCAAACACCCTTTAACGTAAAAGACATGAATCTCATGAGTATATAGATGAATGAATGAACATTGTGCTTGTGGGTCCACTTGAATAAAACTTGAATTAGTTTTTGTGATTTTTATTTTATAATAGAATTCCAATTAGAACGACATTTAATAAATCATGCTTTATATAAAAAATGATTGAAGAGAATGATTCACCAAAAATGAAAAAAAGGGCATAACTAAAATAAATATTCATTCAATCTATATCACAATCATTTTTCAGTATATTTTGATGTTGCGGATTTAAAGAAGTAAGAATATAATATTTGAATGAACCTCATAAATATGCAAATACTTATATAGTACTTAAATGAAACTTAATCTAATTATTTTAAATTTTCTTAGGCAAATGTCTATTATCGTAAACGTATAAATCTCGTCAATATGAACCTATTTAAATGAAATTTGAGTTGATGTCAATGATTTAAGTGATTTGATTCTTTTGAATTCTTATAGAAAACAATAGTTAGCACAAAATTTAACAAAACATACCTTTTTAAAAAAAATTAATAATTTTTTTCAATGCTTTCCTATAATGAGAATAATTTAAAATTAATATACATGTTTCCATGACTTTTAGCCTATCTT